CTTAACTCACAAATGGTTATTTTGAAACATAATTTTCTTTGTTGGCTATTATAATGAGAGAAGACTTCTTTTTAATCCCTTCAGTATAGGTAGGGTTTGTATTGTTTCCATTATTTATCTAAGTAACTGAGATAAATAGTATTTTTATTATATAATATTCTTTATTCATCATAGAAATAGCATTATGGATGAAACAGTATGGATAAGTATATATATATATATATATATATATAAAATTTTATTTGAAGAAAGACTAAACAAAACAGAAAATGGGTAGAAATAATACATACTTTCAAAAAAACAGTAAGAAATCACTAGTTGATGTTACAGATTGTCCTTTTACAAATAGTTATTCAAGATACTAAAGTGGAGCATATGAAGTGGGGATTCAAACAGTGAGACTGCAACCAGTTCTGTTCAACTATCCAACAAAAACTTAGAAATATGGTTATCAATCCTATACACTTTAACATACATGCAGTTATCCATATCTTCAATTATGTTGAGATTGAACAAACCCAAGCAGGCTAATATCACTCTGAACAAAGAATAATACTATTGCTGGGTTTCACAGTATGACACTCCAGTATCAGCGCTGGGTATGTTAGTGTCTCTTTTTCTTCTTTGTTCATTTCATCATGTGTCATAAGATCAGTTTTCATAAACTCTTTGTAGCCTCTACACATGCATGAGTTTTAACATGTATTTCTATCCTTTCTATATTAGAGGGAGAAACAAAACAAAGTAAGACAAAACAAAGCATATTCCTATAAACATGTGAAATAAAAAAGACATATAAGACTGTTGTATAAGGAGTTCTGCCATAGTTCCTGTGTTGTCTCTTGTTATCTCCAATATAATTGGCTATATCATCAGTCATAGTATAATTGAATATATTGGTACATAACAGCATTAATAAAAACACAACTTTGTATATAGTATAAAATTTCAAAACCAGGCAGTAATCAAACCAGAATGTGTATCGTAGTGAGTCTTGTCATTGTCAGTGTAGTTACCTATACTCTCAGACTTGATACTATCAATCATATCAGTGTTGAATAAAATCTGTGGATACCAAACAGCAATCAAACAAACCAGATTTAACTAAGATCAGCTATGATAAAACAGTATAAGACAGGGCTCCAGATTAAGTTAATAGGAAATTAAAGGTGATTACTGTGCTTTATCCTGAAGTTTTTGGGATAGCTGTCTGTGCCCTCAAATCTAATGCAAGTAGACAAACTGGGACAGAATAAAATCTATCTAAGCAGAGTGGTTTGAGTAATGTAGGTTTTAAATCCTGATACACTATTAACAATATCTTCTGCCATCTTTTTTAAGACTCTCCCTCCCCTTTCACTTCCCCAGGGTACACTATATTTTTGGGTCTGACCAAGACTCTTGGTTTTCAATGGAGAGGGGCAACCTGCTATTTACCTAAGTGGTTCTGAACCTTCTCTCTCCTGGACTTGATCTCTAATTGTATTCCTTTACCTATTAAATCCTGTCTTTCCAACCTATCTACAAATACTGGTCTAGATACCCTGATTACTCTCTGGTTCTCTGTCATACAGAGCATTGTTTTCTCATATTTGATTTTCAGTTCATGTAGTCTTTTTCATGTTAATTATATTTCCTAAAAATAGCATCTTGATGGACCCTATCTCCTGATCTACTCCACGTGTGGTTCTTTTCCTTTAATTTAGTATATCAAGGCCATCTATATTAGAGATTATAACCAACCTTCTGTCTCATTTCTTATGTTATGCTCTTTTTTTGCCATCAGTGGTCTGCTTATCTTCTTCATTCTGTTTTCTGCTCCATGCATTGAGGCCTCTCTGCCACTGTTCCTTGAATCCTAATACTTTTCTCTCTCTCTTGAATGCCCTGCAGTATTCTCTATAGAGTTGGATTGGTGGTCGCAAATTTCCCAAGTTCCTCTTTGTCTTGGAAGCATCTTGTTTCTCCATTAATTTCTACAGACATGTTTTCAGGGTATATCAATCTGGGCTGGAGGTTATTTTCTTTCAGGGCTTGGAATATTTCACTCTAGGCTTTTCTTGACTTGATGGTTTGTGTTGAGAAGTCTGCCGTGATTCTGATGGGTCTTCCATTATAGGTGATCTGTTTCTTGTCTCTAACAGCTTTTAATATTCTGTTCCTATATTGAATTTCTGGGATCTTGATTATTGTATGCCTGGGTGTAGCTCTTTTTTGGTTGTAGGTGGCTGGAGTTCTGTATGCCTCATATATCAGAATATCATTTCCTTTTTCTATGTTTGGGAAGTTGTCCTTAATTATTTCTGTGAATAGCCTTTGTAGTTCCTTTGTTTGTACCCCTGCTTCTTCATTCACATTCTTTATTCTCAAGTTGTAGATCTTCTTGTTGTCTTCTAGCCTTTGTATTGTTACTGCTTGTTTCCTGGTTATTTTAAAAAAGTTTTTCCTTTCCTAATCCCACATTACAAACCTGTCCTCCAGTTTGGATAACCTATCCTTAGTTTCTTTAAAGAAGTTTTGCCATCTTTCCATAGAGTTTTTAATTTCCTGGTAATCCCTTTGAATCTGCTTCATGTATTCTATATTTTCTTTATATTCTTCATCAAATGGTTCTCTCCTTTGTTTGAGTTCCTCCATTCTTCTGTCTGTGTCTTCTTGTGGGGTGCTTAGCATCTCTTTTATTAATCTTCTTATATCTTGCTTTACTTGGCTAAATATTTCTCTTTTGAACTACTCTATGAGGTCCTGAAGATATTGCTTTATATCACTGGTGCCGTGTCTGATATATTGCATGTTTGCTGCCTTATTCTCCTTTATATTTACCTGTCCTAGGTCAATGTTCTCAGGGTTTGGACTTGGGGGATTTTTTTTTTGTTGTTGCTGCTTCCTCTTCCCATTGTTTTTGGTTTCTTCCAGGAGGCCCTAGTTTCTTTCTTTGTTGGTTACAATTCTTCTGAAGCACGCTGCCTAGGTGACCTTTCCCACTGCAGTGTGCTAGTGAGTTGCAAACAGGGGCAGCGTATGCTGGCTCCTCCCCTCCGGATCAGTCAACCTGCTTGAGACATTCACTGTGTTAGTGTGCGCTGCCAGCATAGGGAATTGATTTCAGATAACCTATTGAGTCATAGCCGGGTCGTGTGGCCCAGGCCAAGCTCACTCCACCAATCCCATTTGGGAAGGGAACAACTGACTGAAGTCACTGCTGCCCCTTGTTCCTGCCAGTCCTACAGGGTCTCAGAATGTCGTCTGTTGGAGTCCCTTTCTCTGTGGAATGGTTTTATTCCCATCACTCACCACAGGTTCCCTGCTAGCTCAGCTCTCTGTTCCACTCACTAACCCTCCCGACCTCAGTGTGACTGCGTTTCCAGTGAGTTAAAGCAGTAGGATTTTGGTAAGTCGCCACCACTCAGGTTCGGGTGCTGTGGTGGGAGCACTGAACCTTTGGCTGTTCCAATACTAGCACTGGGACTGTATGTTTGATTGGTTCTTCTCACCTTAGTTTCTTCTTGGGATGAGAGAATTCATCTCCCTCTGTTTGGACTCCCCATGCTGTATTATGTTGAATTCTAAGTTAACTATCTCAGGGAGCCTCTGTAGCCTGCTGTTATCTATCCGCCATCTTTACTCCTCTGATAAGTATATTTTTTTAAAGATATAACTGTCTCCAAATATCAGTATCTGCACATCTGTATCAAGTGTCTATACCCATATCTATATTTGCATCTATGTATCTAAATGTTAGATCATTTTACTTTCCTACTCCTGCTTTGTGAATAGCCTTTTTTCAAATGCTCTCAATAATTCTTCACTAGAATTCTGGTGAATTATAGTGCCTAATGATTATGTAAATTAATTTTTGGCTAATTTATTAGCCACATATATTTTAACATATACCATTTTGTTCAACTATCTTGTATTCTTTTAAATTACTACAGTGTGCAACTCTAATTTTTGGTCTTAATTCTGCTGTGGACTGTAGACTCTTGATCAAATGCAGAGTGGGGCTACTTACTATTATTTTTTTAAATTGAGATAATCTGAACTGAATTTTGGTACTGGTTTCAGTTTGGTATATTAAAAAGCAAGACCAATCACATCACTATGTTTTAACTCCTTATGGCTTCCTCGGTATAGGGGAAAGGTCTGCATCCTATCCTGTGGCTAGCTGCTATTTGGATGAATCTCATCTACATAACAGATGCCAGTTCTAGCGAATGTGAGCTGTGAGCTTCATTGGGTCATGGACATAACCTGCAGCTGTGGTTGGGCGTTTGCTGGTATCTCCCTGGCAAGCCTTTCTTAGTTTTCAGTAATGTGGTAAATGTTGCTGAAGTGGAGGACTTGGGAACTGTCTTCAATCTGTGAAAACCCAAGTGAACGATCGTAAGTGATTTGTAAAATGATCTTCCTGTCTCAGGAATACATGGGAAGCTGTTTTACAGTGAAATGTGGCCCGAATGTGAGCTACTCTTGCTGCTCTGAATGCTGTCATGGAGGTGTGTCTGGGAGGGTTTCAGTGTTAAGAATGAGGTGTGGTGTGGTTTACACGAACTAGTTTTTTCTGTCTTGTCGGTGGTCACTGCCTTGGTGTAAACCGATGACTGTCTCCTGCAGTCTCATGCCTGTGGCTGCGGAGCTCTATCAGTAGCACTTTGGCAGGGCTGGCATCACAGAGTGACCTGAAGTCCTTCTCCCAGAGACTCCCAGAGTCTCAAGGGTTGTGTAAGACACAGGTGAGTGCTTGAGTGAAAGCAGTGTGGAAATACACCATTGGTACAAACAGCCCATTGATTGGGAAATCCCTCGAGGGCTCTTTGCTCACTACACATTCACATTAATGTGCAGGAGAGAGCATTATAATACCATCTTCGAACTGAAGAACAAGCCATTTTATGTTTTTATTTTCCATACACGTGTCTTTGCCAGGGCCAAAATTCAATTAGACTGCACCCCACAATAACATAACATTTTGTTTTATTTTGTTTTGTTTTGTCTTTCAGAGTCTCGCTACGTAGTCTAGACTAGCCCTGAATTCACTGTGTATTCCGAGCTGGTCTTGAACTCTATCCTTCTGCCTCAGCCTCCTGAGAGCTGGGATTACAGGTGTGCACCATCACGGCTATCTCTAATTTAATATTTTAATGATTGGTTTTCCTGTACAGCCTCACAGCATAACACTGTGAGAAAATAAAAGAACTTTAGGTATAAAAGATCAAACAATTGGTAGAATAATATCTTTATAACCAGAAAGACAGAAAATTTAACAGGAATGCCAAGAACCTGTAAGCACTGGCTTCTTGGTACTTTGAAACTCAACTCTTTAGAATGATTTTTTAGCTAGACACTTTCTACGTAGGAAATTTCAAAAATTTAAAGCAAAAGTTTCTAGTTTTCTCACATGCCTCCTTAGATGTCTTTCAGCTAACATTTTAGGCAATGCAGTAAGTTTTCCTGGGATCATCTCGGACTTACTGGACTAATTACCTGAAGTGTTTTGTTTTTATGTGAAATACTCCCCAGCTGTGGGGATCTTCCTATAGTGAGGCAAATCTCTGGTGGAGATTTCAAGGAGGCAGACACCAGGACAAATAAGTGATCTTGGCAGCCCCAGTGTTTACGTCATAGCATCCACAGAGGACAGTGACAGTGCTGGTTCAGGCTGGCTTTGCAGTGTGCAGCAGGAAGTTATGGGGAAGTCTGGTGTAGGACTTTTCATGTGAACTCCATTTTCTTTCTTTCTTAATTCAGCTCAGCTGGTGGAGTCAAACAGGAAACTTGTAGATTGCCACTCTTTCTTATAGTACAAACACTCCACATAAGCTATTAAAGAGGAGAGACGCTGTCTACTTACTCTCGGACACAGAACTGTAGTAGGCCTCTCGCTTTCTGATGTGGCAAATAGTGCAGGATAGAATTCAAAGAGCAATACTTTGATGTACTCATGTGTGTGTATTTTCAACATTCCTAGAATTTTAAAAAGAATTTAAACCACATGAAGTGATCGGAAAGCTCAAAATTTTCACCAAAGCAAGAAGACCTACACTCAAGTTTTAGAAGTTATTCTTGGAGAAATGCTTTTTTGGGTTTATATCATTTCGTCAGCAGATGGCGCTCTTACCTTTGTGCATCTTTAAGGGGTGCTTGGGCTGGGCCTCAGGAACGGTTTCCCTGTTTTTATTCAAACGCAGTTTTATAACAAAGCAACAAAACCATTTTTACTGTGTTTAGCAAAAGTGGATGAGTAGAAAAAACCGTTTCTATAGATGTCCATTCAATGGTTTGTTACTATGTGAAATAAAGATCCATATGAATAAAAACTTCTCTTCCTGCAAATCCAAACCCTGTATTGTATTGGTGCCTTTTCTCTCTTCTTTATAAACTAGGAATCTTAATCTGATAAATCCAGCTGGGTGGGCAATGGAGTGAAAACAATGCTTCTTTTTCCTTTGTTTTTGAGACTTTTTGTAGTATTACAACTAGAATTTGATTTCTGTAAGGAATCTTGGAAATCACGTAGGTGAACATGCGAACTTCAGGATGAAGAAACTGAGGCCCAAAGAAGCTAAGCAGCGTCTCACTGGGGAGACACCTGCTCTCAGAGAAAAGCAGAAAATGGGGCTATTTCGGGACAGAGCTGTCACAATGCTTAATTTTGTATTTTTGTATTTGTTTGTTTCTCTGATGGTGGCAGGAGGGGTACTTTGGCCCTTTGACTTGCTGGTGGAGATTAATCCCTTCTTCCTGATTTTTTAGCTTCTGCTTTATTTTATAAAATTTCTGCACAAGGCAGCTAGCTAAAGTTTTAAAACTGTACCTCAGATATGTATATCTAAATATGCAAACTGAGCCCAAAAAGGTGTGGTAAGAACAGTCTCCATAGTAGTTATTAATTTAAAGAGGGATATACACATCTTTAATTGAATTGGATTTAATCAAAGGGGAATATATGAAGGTCCATAATCACATGTTGCGAATATAAAATGTCACAGCCCCAAGCTGCTTGACTTGACTTCATGGCAGGTAGCTCCTCCACAGTGGATATACTAGTAGAGTTGCAAAACATTCACAGAAGTGTAGGATTATTAGTGTGTCTGTTTGAAAGCAAGAGAGATTCAAGTACCCTTGCTGCATCCGAGGAGCTGAGATGTCCATTATGACCTTCACGTACAGAAAGCGTCTCAGTGCTTCACTGTTACACATTTACTGTGACTTGGTTCGCCTGGCTAGCAGGACATTGAGAGGGGACTTGCTCTTTCACACCTTCTCTATCTTCCTGACAGAGAGCCAGGGGGTTAAAATGAACCAGGCCTCTCACTCTCTGACCTTGTGGATAGTTGCTGAAATATCCCTTTGATGCAAGGGGACTGAACCGAAGGCCTGGATTGGAGCCACGGCTATCTGTATTTGTTTGTCTACCGGCCATCGAGAGCACAAGAAAAGCCATGAAAATGGAAAAGTGAATATATTCCCCATTTGGCTAACTGGGGAGGGCAGCTAGTCTATCTCCGAGTGCACAGAAGTAGCCCGGTTTATAGACGGTGTCAAACAAAAGCCAAGAAATGTGCTTATGTGGAGTCAGCCAGAAATGCTGACTCCTTAGTGGCAGGGATTGGAAAGTAGTTTATGGTCTCAGTGCCCGGAAGGTGGAGAAACAGCTTATGTCTCAAGAAAAAAAAAATCTAATGTTTAAAGATCCATTTGTCCTCTGTTACATGTTGTTGACACGCACATGGTCGCCCTGGAAGGTGGCTCTCGTGGCCTCTGCAGTGTCGACCCTGTTTGTGAGCTCTGCTGTGGGAGCTCTGCTGCTTTGTAGGTGCTGAGTATGCAGGCGTCTGCTGCCTCAGTGTGACAGAGCCCAGGTCCCCCACCCAGAGCCCCAACACCAGAGCCCATCACCCCCACTGCCAGCTGCTGGAAATCCAGTTCTCCTAAGCAGCCAGACGTGCAAAAACTTGCCTTGGGGACCACAAACTGGCCCTCTTCCAATGGCTCTGCCACTACACATGATGACACGCCTCCCAGGGGAATGTAGGACACAAAAGCATGCCTGTCTCAGGAGCAGGGGAGGTTAAGAGAAATCTGTAATCATTTTGGCCAACAAGTTCTCGGCAAGAAGGGTAAGGCAAATGTTAATGTCTCAAGAATATGGTCCATTTCCTAAGGCCACATTTTGTTCTATTCATAAAGTTGTAGGGTGGGGGACAGGAGGGGAAGAGGCGAAGGGAAAAGCCAAATTCACAGAGGCTGCTGCCTCTAGTTATTTATATTAACCAGGTCCCCGAGCTCCTGCTGAATGACAAATAGATTGAGTTTAAGGCTGCTGTGTGTGGGGAGGGGGAGGAGGAGGAGGAGGAGGAGGAGGAGGAGGAGGAGGAGGAGGTGGTGGTGGTGGTGGTGGTGGTGGTGATGATGATGATGATCATGGTGGTTTTCCCAGGGGAGTGAGCCTCTTCTCCAGCAGCTGAAAATGTTTATTGCTACTTAATGCTCTATTGCAGAACCTGATTTCTCATCTTCTCAGAAACCCTTAGCTTCCCATCAGCCAGAATTCAGGGTTCCTGTCTGCTTACTCCTTGGGGATCCCGAGAATTCCCTGGGTTAATTTATGCTGAGTGCTTTGTTCTAGTCAACAATCATACTAATGAGGGTTATTAAGACATCACCCAGACAACAGAATGTCCCCCCTGCCTCCTGCATTTTACCTGTTCCCAATGTGTCTCCCTCCTACACTCCGTTTGAGATAAATACGAACTCCTAGAAAACATTCCCAGGAAGCAGGCTTGCAGGGGTTTTGTGAGGCAGGGGAAAGTGCCATCACACGCTGCCTACTTTCTGGCTTCCCCGGTATTGACAAAACAGCTGGAGTTCGGAGTTGTGTTTCATCTTCTGCCTCTGTCCTCCCACCAAACTGTGGGGGCAGATTTTAGATCTTTCTTTGCCAAATCTGTGCCTGGGGCATTCTGGTGGATGCCAGAGACTGATCATGTTGGAGTATTGACACCAGGAAAGCAAAGTCTACAAACGTTGGTGGGTTAATAAACATTTGCTAGTGTGTGACTGCCTTTAAACTAGCTTATTAGTTTTTTTTTTTAAACTGTGGTTTGAACCTAACATCTTTGCATTTAGCTACATTCCCCATCCCTTTTTAAAAAATTTGAGACAGGATCTCCCTAAATTGCTACATTGCCCAGGCTGGGCTTGAATTTGTGAACGTCTTGCATCAGCCTCCTAGAGTACTGTGATTACAGTCATGCACCATCCTGCTTGGCAGCTTATTAAATAATTTAAAAAAATAACTGCAAAGACCTAAGACTCTGTCATTTCAACTTCTTATGAAAAGATGGTGTAGGGAAAGCTTTGGTGATTCATAACTGGAATGACTACTCATTATCCAGCATAAATTAATAATAATTTAAAAATGCCACCATTACCCTTGTTAATGAGAATTAATTTCCTGTTTACCAACGATAACGTATCTTTATAGCAAGCAACAATTTTGCTCTCAAAAGAAAAGGAAAGAAGCGAGAAAGTCTTCTGAGTCAATGTTTGAAGAAGGTGTGTGGAGAGATAATAAAGGTTAGCATTTGAATTCTGTCTCTGCTATTTTTAGAAAGAGTTGTTTGTACCCTGACACTCATTGCTTTTTCTCCCTTAGCTCTGTTAGAGATAAATCCTGTTAAATCTAAATTACTTTGACAATTATCACATATTTTAAGAGATACCCTGCTAAGCCTCAGGGAGGCCAGGGGATTAAACGAAGCAATGAATTAGTGACTGCAAAATAGTGTGGTGTTGAAGAAAAAGCCTTTCTTCCCAGAATCACCACCTTCATAAACAGAAAGGCCATGTGCTTGACTTGGGAGCATTATATCTGCATCCAGGGTCCTTATTTTCATTATAACCATGATGAAAGGCCAAAAACAAAGAGATTTTTTTGGGTATTATGATCATGTTTTTGAAGCAGGGTGGCTTAACCTTTATATATTTTAAGCTGGCAATTCTATTAAGCTTCTAGGAAGCTTAGGTATCACATTTTATTGCTTGTGACAAACACCACCACCACCACCATACCACCAACAGCAACCAAAAGACCTTTGTGGAATTTTAAGGAAAATGATGGGAAGAATCGGAGACCATTCCTAAGACATGGAAGATGCCATCATTGCTGACGTACATTCTTTCAGGACTATTAGTCACCTAGCTGTGGATTCACCAAGAAAATTTTCCAAACTCATCCTGAAGAAGTCACTCGTACAGTCTTCTAGCTGTAGGAGTATCTCATGTTAGCTTTGTTCAGATGTCTTGGGATCCAGTGGGGCTCTTAGGAAGATAGCAGCTCTGAACCTCAGCATCAGAGAAGGACCTGCTACCCTGCATGTGCTGATTAAGCGCATGTCTCTGCAGATGATGTACAATCTCCTTTCCCATCCCTTTGGGGAAGAGTCGGTCTGGCCAGGGAATCAGAAATCAATCATGTTACTATTTCATTGTTGTCTATTCTTGTGTCTTCCACCCTAAAATGTTTATGTTCTTGCTTCTTCTGTCTTCCTGGAAGAAATTTGTGAATGTTTGAGGGCAAGATTCACCTAACTGACTGATTTTCCTTTGTGCATCAGCATGTCAGATCTTGAAAGTTCACACATTTAGTCTGTTAGGTAAAGGCAACCTATTTTAAGTTTACTAACCCAAATAGTAAGAGGAACTTGTTTACAACTTCTGACTGTATGGATAAATATTCTGAATTGGTGACATTGAACCATTTGGAAGTTAAAGTTCAGTCATTGTGTTTTCATGCACTGGAGTTTATGTTTGAAGGAAATTGTTCAGTAGATATTCTTGAGACCAAGTATGTGTATATGACAGGAAGAAAAATTTAAAGTAATGAAGAAGCTGGACATAACAATTACTAAACCAAATTGGCTGCTTTCCTATGCTATGAACTGTGACAAAAACTATCAAGGGATTATTCATTGAGAAGATTTGGGGTCACCCCCCATACAGCTATCACATCATGCAAAATAGTATCATGAACACCAGAACGGCAGAGTGAACTGAGGAGTGGAAACTTCTCAAAGAAATAAATTTGGAGCCAAATTTTGACATATGGTTCTATGGCTTAATGCCATAGAATGTGTTAACAACTTGGAAGTACATAGATTTGCCAATTTGAAAATCACTTAAAGTTTGGAAGAAGCAAATATTCCATGTATAAACTTAAATTTATGGTACAGCTTCCCATTCTTTATCTCTCCTGTCCATTAAAACACCACTGAGAGCTTTTATGAACTATTATTCCTGCTCAAATCACCTTTTGAAGTTTT